CGAGGCAATAGCATTTGGTGTTTTTTGTTATTTACTTTATTCTTTATAAATATATATAACGTTAGTAATTTATTCCCATCGTTGGTTACCAACTCGGTTTCCATGCTCGATTTTCGCTGGAGACTCATCGATTTGTGTGTATTCTCTAACACATTACATAGAAATCTTATGATACCTGATAAACATACACGAACGCTGTTTGATCCTCCCAAGCAAAAATTGAGTTTATCAACAACAAATTATATGCAGTCAATCTAAAAATATCTCCTCGTGACAGGTGAAGGGCCGGGCTTTATGTATCACACTTACCATTATTCGTTCTTTTTTTTGATGTATAGTTAACTGACTGCTTTTGTTCAGCCACTCATTCGGCTGTACGTAGAGCAGTTCCTTCAGGCTTGCTTGTCCTGACATTCCACCTTATTCTTACTAGAAGGAGGAATACAACTACATAGTCAATGGAGCTTTTATAGAAAGGTCTTGTACTTAGAAAGAAATACCGATAAAAATAGTTTTGAAGAACACTACCTTCCCCTTCATTTGCGCATTAGCTCATCTAAAGCAATTCGTCCCCTATATTCATAGTATATATATTCAATATATATGGTCAACATTCAGCATTGGATGTGTGCTCAACTTGTGTTCGGCATATAGAAAGCTCGCCGGCTATATGGATAGAGATTTTTACTGTGGGTTATATATCGATAGATAGTTCGAACAGAACATCCACAAACTTGCGCTAGGCATATCTCCTTGATTGGCCATCTTACAATATATCTAATAAGAGCTTATATGACCAACAAAGCTGCTTCGACGAAACTCTAATTACGTGATTCTATGGTTTTCACAAGTGCCGCTTATTCAACGTTTGGTTAATTTCTTCAACAATCTATAGTATTCTTAGAGGGAAAGAAGAGAAAATCATTCAGGGGGAAGGGAGAAAGGTGCCACAGCTGCAGAAATTGCCCTTGGCCTTTTTTAAAAATCTTTTAAGATTCAATGTAATGAAAAATTCTCCAAAGTATCTGCCGTGAAAGCTACACAGGGTTAGCTGGGCAGTGACCAGCAAGCAACTAATTCGTATGAGCATGGATCAATATAGTTCTCTTTAAGTAGGCCCTACCGCCTAACAGAACTAACTTATGAAACCAAGTGCCTTCCCATACGTGTGCACCTCATGGTGAGTTAGGTGGCCTGTGTGCTACGAATAGTTTGCCCCCCGTATATTCAATCAAAATTTATTTGTACCATCAGCACCATCTTAGCGGCACCATCTGTGGACTTCCTAAATAGTCCTCCTATTCGTTTGGCATGTAAGCATAAGCCCAGCACACGCGAAATATTAAAGAAAGCAGGCTTTTGGGGCAAGCATATAAGGCAGATTTTGATCAACCGATCTTCTATATTTATGACTGGTACACGTCTAGCGTATTTTCGTAGCGCTCGCTATTTCGTCCACACACTTCGTTGACATTAATGAGCGCCTGCCTCATTAACAATTCTTATTTCGAAGCAAAGCTGAACCAAACGATCGTTACTTGAAATGAACGTATTAGTTTCAGTGATTTCGTTTGCCGGTAGCTAGAGGACGGACCTCGCGGTTTTTTCCGTTGTGTCGCTGCTGTCGTAAATTAGGCAGCTGGCCACCAAAGTACGACGTCGATTTTGTTCCATATCGACTCTAAATCACCTTTACCGTAGGATTACTGTATAATAACGTGCTGTATCATGAATGATTTTTATGAAGACATTCGGGTGGGGAAAGTTCGAAGAGATTAAACACTTTCAGCCTATAACATCGCTTGGTCACATCATAACTACTCGTATGGAAATTGTGGCAGAATGATCACAAGATGCAACCACAAATTATGCCGATTACCTGCTTCTGTCATCCTCAAAGCTTCCTGCTTCTCTTTAAGTATGCATGGCAGGCAAAAGGCAATTCATTAACAAATTAGAACTAATTATTCAATAGGACTGGCTTTCAAGACACGTGCCGTCTAGGACATGCCTATCACAGGACTTCGTGTGACCCCTAAGCGTAATCAGCAATATAGAAGGAGCCTGGATTAAAGTTCCACTTTACCCCTGCATATATGGGACAACACGCCAGTCGCAGCTGGCTATTCCGAATCTTATTTTAGCATGATAGAAACAACGCTATGTCGGAATACCTTCGCCTGCAAGCTCGTATTAGAGCTACGCCAGCGTATGCTAGTGAAGTTGCCGCCAAAACTTTGTACCGCTAGAAAGATTAACAGCTTGAGCAAAGTTTACCCTGTCGATGTGTTTTGCCCATTTACTACTTCTTAACGATGAGTCTTAGAGGTTCCGTTTGTGCGAAAGCCACGATCTCTTCCAACTCGCAAGATAGATTTCTACCTGAGCGGGAATGGGCCACAGCAGTGGATCAGAGCTATCGAAGACAGTCTGCCCCGTAAAAGCCAATAGCATTTCTTCGAAATTGTCATTTCAAAACTCGTCTACGCAGGAAAACTATATCGCATCCTTTCCTGTAACGGAATATTAATATGTAGGTCTTATACCTGATCTTATTTTACTGGGAACGTTGCTTAATTTGATCGCTCAAACAGAAATAAGAAAGACAACCGATTTTTGCTAATGTCGCATTGCAACGTTGATGTTAAGCTTCACATCTAAAATAATGCGCATCCATAGATATACAAGGATATGTGATCTTCGTTAGGTCTAAGGAACGCTCTATACATCTATGAACTTGTACTTTTTTCACCGGTACACAAAGCACGTTCGCTTTTTTCCCGTATGGAATAGCATACGCCAAAGAACAGAAATCCATTTGCGGAAGCTCTATATGTGGCGATCCATCGCCTCGAGCAGAAGTCCAAAGGGAGGTACGAGGCTTGTGGCTTAGTGTTTTCTGGGGAGCGAAGTATGCTATCGTTTCTGTTTAGGATGCGTCGCTTGAATGAAATATTTGTAAACACAACAGTTTCGCACCGAACAGTGTCTACAATTAAAGGTTTATTATGCGGATGAAAATAGACTATTTTGTGTATAACGCAAGCGTCTACTTGTAGGGTGTGGATTGAGCGGGATTCGTTTGCCTGTCAGTCGTAGTTTAATTAGCTGTTAGGACATAAACCACAATTAAGTTTAAGTAAAACAAACTTATCTTAGCGCAAGGCACTTTGGTGTGTTTCCATAATTCGATAAAATGAAAGCTGCGTAAATGCGGGCGGCAGTATGAGCAAAAAATCTATAGAGTTAGCCATGAGATTGGAGTATTGGTTGGACTGTTTGCCTTTTTCATATCGCCTCTTCAGCCTGATCTCATTTTATGATTACCATAATTTTCGTCTGCTTGTTACCAAAAATAACCATTCTCGTTCCAGGAAAATATGATTGAATTCTACTAACCTTACCATTAGGGTCTACGATTAGATCTTGCTGACCTGTACTACCTGTAACTGCCAAAGGCAGACCATTCATCGAATTCTTGTCAGACACTGACAAAACGGCGAGGCTTTGATTGCATGTGCTATGACTGCGTGCTTGGCACTACTTGTAGCTATTCTCCATTCTAGTGGCCTGGCTATAGTATCTACTGCTGCTGCTGCTGCTGCTGCTGCTGCTGGTTTCGTCAATTTCAAAACAAAGCACCTGCGTCGCCATATATTGCCAATATCTGCAAAAGGCAAACTATTTTTCGACAGCTTTTCAAACATCGACGAAACAACAAGATACTACCGACTAAGCCCCTTGTGCTTGCGTGCCTGGCTGCACCTATAGCCAGCCCTCCTCCTTTCCCCTGGCCTGTCCACAGTGTTTGCTGTTGTCGTTGTCGGTTTGGAGAAAAAACGACAAAGGAAAGGTTAGACGAGGGAAATTTCAGGCACGAAGAACCTGCCTGCCTGTCTGTCTGTCGTCTCTTTATTGTTGCTTACGCCCTTTTCTTCTTTGAAGCTGCAAAATATGCAGGGATTGAACTGTTGACGTAGCTTGGACAAAGGATGAATACTGTAGTTAACGTTACTCGACAACATGTCCTAGTTCATCGTTCATGTGATAAGGTTCCGACACACCTGACATCCGTTCGCTGCCACAGAGTCAGACAGGATAATTTTGGCTATAGTAACTGGCGTGTTAGCAAGAAGTATCTGCGAGGCCGATGAGGGCATTCACAGCTGTAGTTGTAGTAAAGCCATTGCCTTTGCAAACCTGCCAGTAAGCCGGGCTGGGTGGTAGCCTCGTAAGCTCGATTCTCTCTTGAGGCCCGACGGACGCAGCAAAGCCATAATAACCAATCTTGTTTACCTTTCCCAACGATGATATCCGATTCTAATCAAATGGCACATAACTGACCTGGGGCAATTAGCGAGACATCAGGCTTAGATGGTTTCCCGCGAGGCCAGTGTCACACCGACCGATACAAAAATTGATGCTCCTATTGAGTGGACGATACTTGTACTATGATTATACGCGGAGTACGCCAGTGATACAAACAAAAGTTGCCATTTGAGACAAGCTCATAGCGAGAACAAATTATCGCCTGAGTATCCCAAATAGACGAAAACAGGGTTGTTGAAAGAAACGCATTCGGTTAGTTATTACTAGTATTATAGCTGGAACGATAGGCCTTAACCTGCGCCGCCAGCGGCATCGCGATGTACGTATCTATCTAATTTCAAACGCTGTAGGCAGCAGTTATTATATGCAGGTGCAATATCTTTGTTTTCGGTTCGGTGAGAACCTTTTTGAGTAGGACCAATAATTAGAGATAGATAATAAAGATCCTTCGCATTAGTGGTGCAAGTAGTCCAAGTAATAGCCTATTAAACTGCGAATCTTGGCCCTTTGCGTTATTTACTTTAAATAACACAGTCTCAACGCATGTATTATGTGTTAAATGTTAGGCGTACAGATCTCTGTATGAACTGTCCTTGTTTACACAATAGAATCACGCTATAGAACTGTGCCAAGCATATATATTAATCCCTGCTTTCGTTTACCTCTTTCAGGATACGGGAATATTAGCCCGAAAACAGCAGAGGGTCGAGTAGCAACGATTGTTTATGCGTTGGTTGGCATACCTTTAATGCTTCTCTACCTCACAAATATCGGCGACCTACTTGCCAAAGCGTTTAAATACTCATATGTAAGGTAAGCTTATATCTTGTACATGATTGACAAGTAATATTTTTTTTGCCCATCAGACGATGAGCAAGGTTCGATGGGGTATTTCATTCCGTGCTTTTTCGATATACGCTCGTATTGCAGGGGCTTACCACAGCACCGAATTTCTAATTGTTTTTAACTAATGAGAAGCTGCTGCTGCTGACATGGATTTCAGGAAACTCATGAGTACTGCCCTGTATTTCAGCAAATTCATTATTATAGTTCTAACTGGAACTTAAGATCATTTGAAAACGAGGCTGAAAAACAGGTTGCGTATTCACAGTTGTTGATTCTGCTGTCAGCACTCGATATAGCTCAAGCTTGACTTTAGACAAAGAAGTGCATCGCAATGATGAAATATTATCTTTTTAATTAATGTAGGTCATCTAAGTTTGACTGACGAAACTTAGGTGGATAAGGGGCCACCAAGAGTGCGCTTACAGCACGATAGAATCAGCCCTTATCTCTTTCTTGCTCGCCAATTTTGAACAACTGCCCACCCCGACACTGCGAGTAATCTTTCGTTTTTTCTGAGATTTGATATACCTGCAAAGACAACCGACAATCCGTGTAAACAAACGTCGTTTTTTTTAGCTATTTTCGTTTTTTCCGCCCTGGATAGATTGACGTTGTTGTTGTGCAGTGTAAAGCAAAGGTTTCTTGACCGCTTGAGAACCTTTATTTACTTTCGTTTATATATATATCCTTTCGTATCTGTAAGCTATAGCGATCTTCACTTACCACTATAGTCCACATTGTTAAGTATGAATCAAATTGCGGTTTGAACCTTTTTATATACGTTTCACATCGTGCCTAAATCTGTTGCCAGTACGTGAACTATCGCACCATATAAAGATTCATTCTTAGTGGCTTGAATGCTTACCCGTTCTAGCCTTCTGCACACAGGCACACACAAACTCTAATTCGCCTTAGGTTGTAGGTAAGGGGTATATAAAACAGTCGAGAGCCCTGGAGGTCTAGGCGAAGCTGTTGTATTTTATCGTACATGGCAATTATATGTAGAAAACGTGATCAGAAAATTTTTGGTAGCTTGCTGTTTGTGGCAATGGCTAGAGGAAGCCGGGCTAACACATAAGACATCGCCATGTTTGTCATTGTCATCATTTTCTTGTTGTTGTTGTTGTTGTTGTTGTCAAAAACAAAGATAATGCTGATTATTCCTCTACTAATGATTGCTCACGATGGAACGAATGCTTGGGAAGTTGCCTGGTCATAGTAGCAATTCGGTCATCGACGCCTCGACGGAGTAACGAAAAGAATCTCTTAATTTATAAGCATTGGCGTTTCGCAAAGCGATGTATTGAAGTAATGCTCACAGCTAGCAGTAGCCGGGGTTCAGGGAAACAAGCAAGCCGACAATGAAAGTAAACCGACTAAAGGGAAAGTCTAGAGCATTTCTCAGCTTCTGCTGTTGTCTCGACGAGTGTTACCGCCGTATCTGTTGCTGCTGTTAGAGGTTAATGTGTTCTAATGAACCGGGCCGATTCTTTTTTATTTTCTTTTGATATTTTTCCTTGTACTGTTTTTTCTGCCAGCATCCTCGGTCGGTTCCTACTATCGTACGGCTGTCGCCACGCCAGTCGAAAGCCTCTCTGCCTGCAACTAACAGGCTTTATAGGCAGCGAAAAAGCAACAACAACGGAATGCCTAGAATCAGAAACTCAGAGATGAGCTTTGTCTTTTCTTGCGTTTGTTCCCTTCTCGCGCTTTCTTAACCGTCCATATTGTATCCCCCCGTCTCTCTCCCCATGTTTTGTTGAGCTTCTCGCAATTCTGGCTACATATATCGAGCGGACCTTCAAGCAAAAAGACCCGATAGCTCGGATTAATTTGACGGATGCTAAGCGAAAAAAATTGTAAAGGTAAACACTGTAAACTGCTGATGATTGCGGCCAGCTGACTTCATCACAATTTATTAGTGGGCAACTATTACACGATGACAGCGCCGCGAGGTTTACGGTAGCACCTATAATATCAATGTTGCAACAACAAAGTCATGCTAAATGGAGGCGAAAGACCCGAAAATTACACTGGAAATGAAAGCGAGTATCAACAAGTATAGTTTCTAAATACGTTCACAGAAAAAACATAATGTATATGAGCTGTTTTTATTCTGCCTTTATTTACCGGAGGTACCGCGCAATATCTCAAGGAGTTTAAATTTGATTCTGTGAGTGTACCTAGCATTATATGGAATCATAGTAGGTGACAGATACTAGTACCAAGTCGATTCTAACACATTTGACACACTGCTTTGCTTGGATTCGTTCGACTAAATTATGCTACCGGGATTGAATGCTATCATTGTTGCCCCTGACGACGCCGGCGCTTATCTGGACGCTACTTGCTGTATGGACGTCGTGAGCAGATTATGCGTGTGTCGGGGTCCTAAGCGAGGAGAGCCGAAGGGACTTAGAGCATCTCGGGGCCATTTCAACTCATACCCGCCGGGAAACCTTTCTCTGGGACATACTACACCAAACCCCATGGTAAGTACGCATTCGTAACATTTAACCAATCATAGAGAGCTTCGAGCCTGCTACCGTAGGCGTACAACGCTCAATCTAAAGCCTGATCCATTAGTAGCTCATATACGGTACCATTATTACCGCTAGCTTATTATTTTCAAAAATGCACTGATTTTCGTAAAACTTTTAGCAGTTTAACGCAGTCTTGTCCAATTTAGTTCGGCCTTCGTTGAGGTCCTAACTTAACCTTACCAAAAATGTTTTTCACTGTATAGCTTTTCCCCTCATCCCCCTTGATCACCCCCCACTCCCTCCCCTTGCCTGCCTCTTATATCAATTTTTTTTCCTCTTTCTGATAATTAAAATAAGCGGGCCAGCTGTGCCAGCATAGCCGAGTTCAAGCCGAGCCCGTAGATATAATTTGTGTTGCATATATGTATTCATGCGGCTCTTTCGTTTGCAACGCAGTAGTCGGCCTCCTCCATGAGGGTTGTTTTCTACCACAAATGCTACAGTACTTTCTATCATACGGACTTTGAACCTATACGCCTCAAGCATTCAAAACTGTATAGATGTCCGGAATAGCGTTTTCTCTTAACATGAGGTACTGTGCGCGATGTTGTACCCTTGTTCTTCCTGTCACAAAACCACATCACCGGTGAAAAAAGCAAACTCAAGGCAAGGCTGGTCTGCAGGCCTCTTGGCCTATCAGCGTTAACCCTTTCACGCATCATTGCCCACCAACAAAGATAGACAAACCTATGGACAGATCCTGCACAACCGTGCGGTCGCCGCGATTTGCTACGCTTGCCTCGAATGCTGTGGCTCCGAGATAACCATCATGAGCGAGAAAAGTGGACAACGACGTGTTCGTGTAGCCGAATGGCAGGCACAATCTTGATTCGTGTTTGGACCGGCATCAGGAAAACGGAGGATCAGTTGGTAGCTGGAATCAATCATCAAATGGGCAAAAAATGATGTACGAGTTTCTCCGCGCTAAATGTCCTTGCGTACCTATGTTCGTGTGGACGCTTACGTGAAACCGTCTTGGGACATTCGCTAGTGCCTTCGCCAGAATCTACAACGGACATGGGTCATCTACTGTCATCGGTGCCGTTGTTCAACAAAAGTGTTTAGATAGGACGAACACACACCTCTGCAAAATGAATGAATCACGTAACACAGTTTTAGCCCACTGAATAATTGCAAAAGACCTTGGTAGACTTTCGGCTGACAACAGTGTCACCAGAAATTCGACGAAGCACTAGGACACATGCATTTCTCCGGCGACATAAAGTAGATCAGGCAGTTACGAAAGGGCCGAAGTTTGTTCGGCCAAGAAGCGTCGTTGGAGACCAGTAATTTGACCAGAAAACTCGCGTAGTCGAAATCCGAAACAGAAACATGACAGCATAATTTTAATAGCGTAAGTGACTATGGCCACAGCGGTAGTTCTTGGTCGGTAAGCAACCGTTTATTAATTACCGCAGGTCGTGGCCTAAACAGATAACTTGATGGGTAACTAACACCTAACTTGGAAGCGGTCAGCCTGCTGCCTGTGGAGGGTCTTTTTACTTCGTGACAGGCCTTACAACTTGGATGCACAAAATAAAGCTATATTAGTGTATAAGGGAAGCCAACGAAAGAAGACTGGTAAGCGAGAAAGATTATTCATAGGAAATTGTCACGCACGTCTTTAGCTGTAGCAGCTTGCCCGTTCGAAATCAATAGCTGGCCCTTGCCCAGTCTCATGCCGAGTTGTTGCGTTATTCGATTCGTTTCGCCAGCCGCGTTAGTTATGTAGTCCCGTATACATCTTTTCACGAAGAATACATGAGACGTTTAAAAGCTTGCTTCCACTCTGCTGAATTACATTTAGGACTTTGTTTCAATTTTCTGGTTATTTGCACTCGATTTTCTATGACCATTTAGTATACGCACTTGTTTGACTACCCCGAAAATGCCTATTTGTAAAAAAAATCCTTTCCGTTGTTTTGGGCTCTCCGATTTGCGGCCCTAATTCACTTCTGTTGGGGAGCGAGGCGACTTTCTGATAGCGCTCCACTCGCACCCGTTAGGTTTGTTAGGGACCGATCACCGGAAAATCTCTTCAAGTTCATACCATCCCAATCTGATGATTTTATACAATCGTATTTATTCTATCTGCAGCTCAAACCTCCGTCGCTCAAATTGGATCTGCACGATTTGTCTGTGCCGTCCGCATACAGCTACCCTGTCGCCGCTGGCACGGGATATCCCCAGCATCACAGTGGAAGCAGCGACTACTACAGGTTAGTAACACCAGCAAACGTGTTACACAGATCGGGCAAAAGAGTGCCAGAAAATTATGATGTATGAGAGACAAAAAAAAGAACTTTCTTCTTAAGGAAGATTCTCAAATTAACAAGGGATATTTCCAAAGTGTCAAGTATATTTTCCCCACCCTATATATATATATATATATATATATATATATATATATATATATATATATAGGGTGGGGAGGGTATATGTAGGGTACCTTTGGAAAAAAAAGTTTCTGCTATCTTAGCACTCCAATTTCTATTTCAAACTTGGATGACTTTTCGGCCCCTCCGCACTCGCCGTGAAACAAACGGTCTTCTTTGTCTAAACCACGTGCGTATATATAAAAAAAAAGTCTAAAAGCATTTATTCATGTAAGTTTTCTACCGTTTGTCTACATATGGGCAAAGGGGCAAAAAGTCAACGGGCAAACACGCATATTTAGCAACTAACAAATCAATTCACGATCGGAACTAAATAGAGTATCCTAAATACTTCTATACATACCACGCTAGTAAACCCTCCGGAAGGCCTCTGTCAAGTAACTCTGAAGCAACTTCGTTGATATTTGAATTGCTGATTCAATCTGCGCCACCTACGTAATTAGCTCCTCCATATCACCTGTATTCGTGATAGATTGAAGCGAGTTAAAATTTGGTTAGGTCAGTTTCTTGTGTCAGAAGCCTGTACTGATGACACAGTTTCGTACGTGGCGCTACAAGTAACGTCTGACACGTTTCTACAATAGTTTACGTTCGTTGAAACAGGCAGTGCCTTTAAAATTACCTTTTGCCATCAACGTCATTACGTAGCAGCAAAGATAGAGTAATCAAAGGCAACATCCGGAAAGGTTTCCAGGACAGAGATGCTATAGAAAGCTCATTGCCTAATTAGTCCCACGACTCAAACCGATGCGAATTTGGAGCGTGCCTTAGGGACCTTGTCGTGGTTTTTGTTTGACTGACTTCAATACCACAACAGCCTTTCATCCCTAACTTATAGGAGCACTGTCTATTCCACGGTTTCGTTCAGAATCGGGATTTTTTAGGCAAATAATAATAAGCACGAGTAGTAATCAGGTACGCTGTTCGTGACACGAAAAGGAAGGAAGAACGATGGGTTCGTTTGCGATTTTGCTTCTTTACTAGACTTCCTATGGCTTGCCATGGCTAGATTTAAGTGGAAAAATCGTTTTTCTATTTCGTTCATTGACGCGGAATATGTTATTTTTTTGACAATTTCTAAAACGAAACAGAATTAAAAAAAAAAAAAAGAAAAACTCCCATCGACGAAAGGTTGAAAAGCTCCGTGGCGAAGAATCTGGCCTTATATTTGTCACTAGCCTGGACCGGAATCGTCTGATCTATCAGCTTCCGTCTTCTACTAGCCCGTGGTAGCTAAGCCGACTGTGCAGACGGTACACAAGTATCAGGATTCTTACTACAAAAGCTATCAACACCTGTTTATTTAAGCACGTATCCGAACATTATAGTATCCGATGCAGCTGGCGGTTCTCCAGACACGATTATCAAAGTTGCCACTGGTTCTGGAAGGCGTCTCTATAACTAGTGCCGGCATTTTCTATGCCTGCATAGCACTGGAGGTGTAAACACGCAATCCACATGGAAAGAGACCTAACCGAATTGTTGCTAGCTGACGACGACGACGACGAAGTAGGCTGTAGTGTCCTGCTGTTGGCTGTGCGGTTCCTTTAGAATAACGAACTCCGTTGGCGTCTGAATAGAAAACAATGGGTCCTAGCCGATATAATCGAGTAGGATAGAACTGAAATGAACTAGATGTGGGCTGGAGGCCAGTCAAAGATTTGGTCTTATGCATAGTGCGTCTGGCATATATCGGACTAATGTGTCGGATGCCAGGGGGCGGCTTTTCGCTAAATGATTATAAACACCAAATTTACCAGATTCTGCGACAGTCCTAGTCTTTGCATGTCTGGAAATCCCTCATGTCCATTTTATGATAATAGCTCTGCTTAGTTACTTTCTAAGAACTAGCTTTGATTATGAAGGTAATATGAAACAAGTGTCTGCTGTTTTCTGACAGTTTAGCCCTATTCAGTAGTAATCATAATAGGGTATCTAATGCTTAGAGCATAAATGAAAAGTCGTTTTCCTTCTTTTTACTAAATACGTAGAAAGAACTACACGTCTAGGAAAACTTTAGTGGCCACTATGTAAGACGCTTAGCGCTCATCAATCTGAGTAAATGCGATGTTTTCAGTACAGAAAATTAATTAATTTTTGTAAGTACTATGGTTATTGCTCATAACAGAGGTTAGCTACATTGAATCTTAAAGTACTGGTCATTTTGTCATGAACACACTGCTTCTTCCTGGAAGTTTGCACGTCGAGTTTTGCCTATCGTACTTCTGTGCGATACCTGTACATGCACGAACGCATTTCCACAGCACCGTCACTGGCTACAGCTGACAGCGAGGTGACAAGGCGCTGCAGAGAGCCTGCTTCATCGTCCATCATTTTAGCACGTACACAGCCACACTTCATCAATGAAATCCCGATGTGAATGGGTCTCATTTCCTTCTGACATTGTTGTCTACCGCTGGAAATACACGAGCCAAGCATATTTCCTGAGTGCATTTAGGCTCGTACGAAGTCTGGGTTCTTTGTAGATGTGCCCGGTAAGCTCAACACAGTGCAGTCCACTGCGGTAGCGCGGGTTTCCTGACTATCAGCAGGATGTGTTATGCTAAGCTGTAAGTGATGGATTCTCTCGTTGTTTTTGCGCCTCAAAAAATTGGTTTTTATGGTATGACATCGAGATATATATATATATATATATATATATATATAAACAAAATTGTCCCTTAAACAAATTAACCTGCAAAAATGTGTGCCTGAAGTAGTAAAATATTGTAATGTAATGCTAATCTCCAGAACGGCGCAATTTTTTCAAAATACTCAAGGCAAACTCCACCTTATCGCTGTAGGCTAGAATCCCCTCTCTGCCCAGCCACACATCCAAAAAAAGTTGTTTTGATTTGTTTGAAAGAAAGTGGCACTGAGAAAATAAAAACAGCAGCAGCTTGAGTGGTGCAAGTGGTAGCGGGCTGGACCGAGGCTCAGTCGTAGGTTGTTGGAGAGGCTTCGGATGTGCCCTGTATAAATCTTACTCAGCAGCTTCTTTCAGCGGTATCAAGGAAAGCATAGACAAGACTGGCTTCAACTAATCCGTCTACGGATACTCTAAGTACGACCACCGACACAAGTCCGCTACATTGTGTGAAGCGCCGGCTTATTTCCACTGAGTGAGGAAAGCGGCAGAGGAACGGGGAGAACCATGGAGAAGAGACAGAAAGTGAAAAAATAAAGGAACAAGTTTGTAGGACGTTGCATGGGACACTAATGGGGATTTTTCTTACCTTGTCGTGCCGTTACAGAGATCACAAAATGACAGCGTCACTTTGGATCTCAATGCAGCCTACATCCTGCTTTACCGCTGTCTTCTCTTCGTGCACGCAGACCGCACAAGTTGAGACAGACCTGCTAGATAACTCAAGCAGTTTGATAGATTTTCTCCTATTATAGCGGCTTGCTGTCTACTCTGAAAGAGCAATTCTTATGTTTATACCTATGTACGTCTGCTAGGATAGCTTTATCGTGACGGTATTGCCCGTCGCGTACAACTGAATCGTAGATTTGTTTGTCTGGGAGCGGGAAAAGTTTGCGTTTGATTTTTTTAGACGTTAGAATCAACGCTTGTGGGAGGGAGGATAGAAATTAAAATAACAGTTATGAGAAAGAAATAAACAGGAAAACAACTATTTGAAACTAATTACGTTCTAGATGTTAAATATGTGGGGCCGGTATAATAAGAAATTGGTGCCTGCCAGCGTGTGCCAGTGTAAATTGATGATAAGGCTGTATAACATAGTGGTTATCGTTTGGACGAGAAGTTTCCTTTTCGCTACTAGATAAACCATTAAGGTGGCATACACCTGTGGAAGGTTTTGCTTCTATACTACTATATAGTAGTAGGCGTTAATAATGAAGTACTTTTCGCGCTGGCATGAATCGAAGACAAATACCTATATTCTAGTGTTCTTTACTACATTGTATAGTGCGCAGTCATACTGAACACTTCTAAGGTGTCTTTGTCATACGCAAGTTTTAGATGGGACCAGCAAAGGTGCTAAGTTTATTTTCCCATATGACAGATAGACGAAATTCTTATCTCTAATAAAATTGTCCCTTAGCCATAGCCTAACTTGGTTCGGTCAGTTTAAGGCTGAACTCGGATTTATAGGAGATCCAAAGTGTCGTGATTGGATGCCAAACGTACAGTATACCTTTCATCGTGCTAGATTTTTCTAAAAGCTTTCACCCGAGCAATGTTACTCACGCAGACCCTGCCTAAAGCAGATTTGCGTTCCAAATTGTAATAGTTTTCCTGTTGCAGCATCCGCCGTTCCGCTTTTACCTCTTCGCCACAACAGGTGCTCATTTCCCAAGCTCCCATCAGTTAAGAAACATCTTACTATTTGCAGGCATTTTAACAGGGCACCATTTGTAGCCCTTTGCTAAATGGCCGAATATACGTGGAGTTATTACTGCTTTAAGATTAGTAGCAAATCATACATTAGATGGACGTAACACGCACACACATACTAGTAGACCATGCAATACAATCTTTATTTTCGGATAAGGACCATTCCTTTTGAATTAAGCCGAAACCGCAATAATCTTATTACTATTTATTCTATACTTAGATAACAAATAGTTGCACTTCGAATTTTAATTATTTTTTTTTCTTTTTTTTTTAGGTCCGTGGACCGTGTGTCAGTTCCAATCAGCCTATGCATGGCCATTATCACTTTGTACATATGCGCTGGTACGTATGACTTGTCATTATGACATTTCTCCTCATTCCCGTGCGCAAACTTTTCCCGCTTCGGAAGAACATGATAAATCTATTTCTATATATTATATGTCGCTGTAGCATTAATGAAGGACTACATAACATAGATTACGATTTCAGGTGCGTTTTTGTTTTCATTCTGGGAGAAAGAGTGGGACTATCTGGAGGGATCATACTTTTGCTTCGTGACATTGTCGACGATAGGCTTCGGCGACCTCGTACCTGGTCAAAACATCGAGGGGTCCGAGCAGAAGCTTGCTATTTGTTCGATTTATCTACTTGCCGGTTAGTTTTCTCAGCGGTATATAATAGCATAAATATATCATTGCTTTTGTAATCCTGAAGATATTTTCAAGTTTTAAACTCGTTTTTTTTCGTCTTATCCATTTTTACGATGGTGATCATCTTTAAAGGCCTATAAAACTAGAATGTTTAAGGTAAACGTGCCAATATCGCACTTCGTATCGTGTCGTGAGACAACTACCTATCTGCTTCACGTAACAGCCCTCGATAATTTCACAGACCTTTTTGTCCAATAACTGCCCGCTCGGTCCTAACACGAGCGTGATTCAGATAGAAAATTCGATTCTGTATGACAGTTTTAAGTGTAAGTAAAAACTTTTAATAATTTAGTCAAGCAAATAGTGTGACGAGGATCGATTGTGAACTTCGCAAGTTTAACGTCGTAGTAGAAATCGTAGTAAGTAGAAAATCGTGACTGAGATGCACGAAATATGACATGACATGTCTGCGAAGTTTACCATTATGTTTATATCACGTTCTCATTGATTTCAGGACTAGCGTTGATTGCTATGTGCTTCAACTTGGTACAAGAACAGGTCGTATATAAGTTACGCAAGATGGGCAAGCATCTGGGCGTGATCTCCGATTCCGAGTTGGATAGTAGCGACCCTGAATGACCCCACGATTTGGACCCTCTCGGCCAGCAACGATCGATGACAACTACGACGGTGACAACAACAACTACAACAACAACAACAACAACAACAACAGCAGCAGCAGCAGCAGTAGCAACAACAGCAGCAGCAGCAGCAGCGACGACAACAACAACAACCACAGCAGCGGCAACGGCTACGAGCATGCAAAGCAGTACGGGCAATAGCTGCATGATACAGTCGGTGACAGTTTCCGACGCCAATACGACCACAACGATCAATAATGCAGGTGTCGCTCCGATCGGCGGACATCTCTTGGCCATGGGCGGCCATGCTACGAGCGGTAGTAACACCTGCGCAAAGCATAAGGTCGGTAGAATAGGTTTTTCGAAAGCTCTTAGTTTTCATTATATAAACTGTATCTGATAAGCATTTAAACGGTAACTTTGTAGGTCAGCCGCGCACCATAATCTCAGTTTGCGTCGGCCGCTAATCACTGCATATGTATCGATGATACGAGGTAACGTAAAGAGCAAGAGTGCCAGTATGTATTCGATGTAGGTCCAAACGATTTACGCTGACATGAAATGAATCAACCGGGGGCTGATTTTTATAGCGGGTTGCGCGTGTATATATTTAGTGGCACGTATAATTGTACCTTTATCTATGAAGCATATGTTTTGTGTTTCAATATGTATGAGCTGTAGTGTCCCCGTTAGACGAAAAGAAAATCAATGATTTTACTTGGGACTATGTATGATTTGCTAGGTGACCTTACTGGCACAACCATCTAAAATGGCTGCACTCTATAGCGTGCACCATACGCTACGTCCCAGCCAAACTGTTTTCGCTGCCTTTTTCTCTATTGTCGTGATCACACGAGTTTCTTACCGCTACGAAGAGTTCCGCGTAGCCTATTCCCAGCGAAGGCTTCCATCTCCCTATCCATTTTCACCTGGTCGAAGTGTACTTTATGCTGTCTACATCTCTACAAATGCGTTCGGTCTCTCCTGTTTACTATGCAACCGACTGGGGTACACATCATCTACACGTCATTTCGTACAAAGACCTTCTCTCAAACAAATTCCTCACTTCGATTTCGCAGCCCTATTTGCTGTGATACTTTTAGAGGACCAACGCTGCCGGCTGGCTATGCATTGTCGCGTAAGTACGAAATTTTCTCGTCAATCTGCCATGAGCACGACTATTCCTTCTGGCGGGTTCTACGTTCCTGCGGCGCCTGTCTGCTTTGGCGCCCACGTGCGGCGCCTTTAAACCAATGGTAGATCTATCATTTGTGCGTTGCCTTTCATTGGCCCGCCATGCTATCCCGTGCCCGACGCAATCTACGCTTGAAATATAGTGTGTCCATATGAGGGCAGTAGTTCTCCTTCCGAGGTAGAAACACGAAAGGACGCTGCTTTGGCGAGACGGTAAAATAGCGTTCTCTTTTGAGAAACACTTCTTTCCTTGGTCACCAAGTCAAGGCCGTCTTATTCCAAATACTCACTTTCGCCTTGGTAGTCCACCCTGGCACCATCCAAGTCTTCTTACCCACTTTCTTCATCGTTCTGAACAGGACTAGACACCGAAAACCTATAGAAGAACACTGCGATACGATACACTGGTCTTGTTCCACTGGCAGTTCGCGATCCGTACGCATGGATCGTCATCGTGACGGTGATAGACTGTGCAGCTGTAAAAAAACGTCGACATCTAAGGCTGCCTGCCGCTTTCTTCCGTATATTAGATTTTCAGAGCTCCACTTCCCAGACTACCACGACATCAAACGAACTGAGTGTCGATTCAACTTTTGCCCTTCCTGGGTTCCGCACGCTTGTTTCACGAACAAATGATCCGTCCTTGGCTGAAAAAGAACAGCTTCAATAACGAGTTATTTAGATTTTCGTCACATCAACTTTTCTTTATGGCTTCAATCACTATGTGGCTGGATTTGTCTTCTATCTTTCGCTGTGTCATTGCGCCGTCATAGCGCTACGCGGTGCCCGCAAATTATTGTTTGCCACCAGAATTTGACGTATTTAGAGTGAAAGGAAGGTGTAAAGGAAAAAAATCGACCATTTAATTGAATAGGGAGGCTGGTTTATTACAATTGTCAAAGGTCCACAATACAATTACCATCGTGCACCCGTCTGGGATCAAAGCAATACAAAACTGGTTCTCTTCACTTGAAAATGGAGAGAGGAATTGAACGCTGTTTATGGGTCCCATACCAGCCATTCGATGTTGACCTCCGCAACAGGAAGTATTAATCATAATTTATTTAGGATAAAAATAGCAAGGGTACGTTAAGTAATTAAACGGATCCCACTAGCATCGAAGGTACATGTGTATATTCTTCTACTGTAATAATCATTGCACAATTATACTTCGTGTTTTTTCCAGGACGGCGATCTGGTGGCGCTCGCAACGTTCGGAAGCGTTTGCGCCTCGTTGGGTAGTCATCAATCTGCAGCAGGGACAATAGAAGCCTCACAAATGTCTCAAGTAAACGTGCCAGGCACCACTGAGGTACGCTGCCTTCCACATGTGAGTCCGTATGGTTATTATTTTTGTTATAAATTACTATTATTATTTTGATCGCTCGTAACCTCGAGCTAAATATTCATGCATGTTTCCTCGTCAAAACAATTCCGTTATTTCGTTTTCTGCGCCACTTCTACCATCCAGCTACAAACGCCGTACATCACTAGTAGTGGTCTAGAGGTTGGCGTGGAACTCGAAGAATTCTCGGCACATCGAGGGCCTGCTGCCGGCTGTGGTATGGGTGTCATGACAAACACAGGTAGCGGAGTTGTTGTTCAGTCTGTGCCTATTCACTATTTGGCGGTGACCGCTCAGACGTTAGCAGTCACTAGGACGAAGCAGGGCGCTGGTGGTTCCCTTTCGGATGGCCACGATAACTCGGATCCGTCCGACCAGGCAGGTGAGCTCGAAATAGAGCAAGATAGCCGAAGTTCGGTGGGAGGTTTCGGCGAGGACTCAGACAACAACGTCACAGCGGCTACGTTAACGACGGCGGTGGCCGCAGCCAACAGTTTCAACCACGCCAGCGTTAATGATAACCAGAATTCGATGGGTACCTTGACAAGGCAACATGCAGCTGCCCAGAAACAGCTACAACAGCATCAGCAGGTCAGTTCGCTTGTGTAGATGTACAAGAAATTGTCTCGGTGTCATTGTGCGTCGGGAACAAAAGTTCTGTTTGCTTATATTGCACCGAATTACAGTACGAAGATAAATTGTAAAATGGCTTTATAGGGAAGTCTCTAGCGCTATACGTTTCGCATGACTATAATTCTTCCTCTCCTAGATTCCCGAAAGCCTATGTTGCCCTGGAGTTTAGCCAAACATAAAACAGAAATGGGCGGGAGTATTCGAGAAAAAAAAAAATCAACATTCTGATACAATTATTTTAATGACGATACAGTTATTTTTCGGTCTCTATACGTAATTTATATCTAGCATCATGTTATCGGGTAGCTATCGCGACCCGTAACCATTTTTGCCATTTGGCCGTCACCATTAATATAAATATACAGGCTACGAAAGGTCGGATAATCTATTCTCATTTGTTCAGTTTCAGTTCAATTGACGTACGGCTCACCGCCGTTAATTTATCGGAATCGCATTTTCCCAAAAAACAGTCGGGCCGTCTTATATTTGTTTGGTTGTACCCACCTGTTGCTCGCTTTAAAAATCGATTGTTCAATTTGAAAAAAGTACACATCTCCTCTTTGCTTTAACGAACTCTCCGTTTTGACTGTTACAGTGGTTATTTGGCCGAGCAGCCAAGCTCTCAGTGATACGTACTCGCCTACATGATATTGGCGTATTTTCAACGCAACGTTTATGAATGGCATAGATAGTGTGTGTAAAAATAAGCACGGACCGCTCGTTTTATCATTCGGAGTTGCTTCCTTCTGTCCTGGAAAGCCGTAATATGTCGGTATCACAAGTCAATATTCCCATGTAATTTATGATCGTTATGATCTTACTTTGAAATGCGATACATTTAACTACATCTATTGTATGATATGTGGCATTTGCAGAGCCTGCACACCCTCGGAACACGTGTTAGAACAATCTAGGTCTAAGTTGAAAGTTTAAGTTGATTCGCTTCGCGACAAAACCGATAAACTTTTCGAATTTTTTTTTTTTATCTAAACCCTTCTATTGAATTGATTCGGCGCCAAGGCAACGATAGACATCGCCCATCTTTGAACCTATGATAGCCATTGTTACGCCATTGAATTTTGGTCATGTGTACATAAATACTTCGAGTTCGTCTCTACTCTGCAATAAGCAGACCAGATCTTACTTTCTGATGCGCAAAAAAATCGGCTTAAAGCTATGTTGAAACACCAAATAGGATCAACTTCTCTAGCCAACCAGCCGAATGTTAAACGCACACGCTATATAACAGCGGTTGTCTTTAGGCAATATGAATTCTACACAATTGTTTGGAGACTAATAATGTGGACATGTCCGCCATATTCACATTTAATTGTGGCGCAGTGCATTCGGCGTGTCTTTGCTAGTTTAGCAGGATGTAGAGTTTCAACGTGGATAGCGGCTGCATTCTCCTGAATTCGACAATCACGGCGGGCCTTAATCTGACGATGGGGGTGAACGGACGGGGGATCTGCTGAGACAAAACTCAAAGGTTCATGTTCGAGCCCCAGACCAAGACCGACCTTGGTCTGCACCACGAACAAGTAGACGACACAGTTGACGTTCACTGTTCTTGCTCAATTCTGCGCTCTATCCCTCTCCGTTGCCCTAGGCCTGCCGTGTCCTTTTACTAGCGCGGTATGCTTCTAACGTTATTTCTCTGTCTATATGGCAATCCTGTCCTGTCCTTCATCTACTGACCTCTGTACTTTTCCTCTCGACCATTTTCTCATTCTAATCCCACTATAGCTTCTTGCTGGCAGCGGTTTGGGTCTACCGGTTGGAGGACTCTGTAGTCGACATCAGGCTATGTTCGGCCAGTTCCCTCTAGACGTCCTGCCGCAACTGGCTCCCATGCCGTCCTTATCGATGGCCGGTGGCGAACCCACCGACCTCATCTCGCTGGGCCAGAACCTGAGCCAGCCACCACCCCCCCATCCATCGCACCCGTCGTCCCATCCGGGAAAACAAAATCAGCCAGTTGGTGGTCATACGGTGACGATCCCCACGTCTCAAATGGAAATCACCAGCCTTGATGCCGCAGCGATGGCGGCTGCTGCAGCCGTGGGCGCTCTGACCGGATGCTCACCTCCGCAGCAGTCGGTTCCTTTGACCCTGCAAGCGCCTATTGATGGAAGTGGTACCGCCACCCACACCTTGCCACGACATCACACGCATACTCAGCAACAGCAGCAGACACAACTCGTAAATGGCAAGTGCGCCGTGCAAGTGTTCCATGCCTACTATACACAAACGCAGTCGAACTAGATTTTACTATATATATATAATACAAACAAATAAAAGAAAATCAGAATTTAGCTTCATTAAAAGTAATTTCTATTTTTCCCAGTCAAGCGGACTCTAATAAATTTATTTACGTAGTTTTTTTTCTGGTAGTTTCATACAAGCCAATTGTTCAAAAGAAAAAACATGTGTTTTGTACAAACTACCATGGTTGCTTTTCGTCATGAAAACGTTTGATATTTTTTGTGAGTTAGTTGCTTGTATAGATTTTCAAAACTCAAATAAGCTAAAAAAGACTATTTTTTTTCGCTTAAATCAGCTCGGTATTTTTACAGAAAGCAAAATGATCCTCGAAGGTTTAACCGAGTACATGATAAGCAGTGTAATCCATCAGCACGCTTATATACCTTGCCTATGTTTTGCAGTGAAAGTATTGCAACAAAGTTTTCGCGACACATAGCCTCAATTTAGCTCCATGTGTAATCTAAATTTCGGTCCGAATGTTATCAAGTCTGAGAGTTTACCGAATATCGCGCCTTATAATTCCAAAGTAGTGTTTTTTTTTTAACAATATACACAGAGGCCATATCAGTAACGCATCTTTCGCAGGTAAAGGGCACGACTGTGCTGTCGGAGTTTTCCTCTACTTCGTTTACTCGCTGCCTTTCCAGCCCTTCTTGATGAAATGTATTTCCCCTAAATTTACTAGAGTATGACAGCATGTATCAAAACCCTATTTCTCGAACCTTATTTGCAGCCCCATTCTGTCCTACGAATTAGGTCGTTGCAGTGGAAAGTCGATTTAGCTATTGTTTACTGCCGGACACTTACTCACGCAACGTGAACGCAATTATACATGCAATATTTTAATTTCACATTTATTGGAGCCGCTATTAATGAATTAAAGAAAATCCGATAAGTAATAAAATTTTATAGCGTGTTATGTTTAATTGATAACTGATTATTAGAATAGATGTTTTCCGTTAGAACGACTTGAATACGCTTTCTAGGACATGTCCGAAGACCTGACACGTAGAATTGCAAACGGCTAATGTTAACCTATTTACCTCCTCACGTCACCTTTGTTTTTTTTGACTGTTGTAGGAACGCTCCGAGGAGGGACGCTACTCTACGGTCCTTCAGGCACAATGACTGAAGTCGTGCAGGAATCGCATCCACCGAGAAATTCTGTTGGCCAAACCCAGTTGCCCCCTTCGAGTGCTGTTACAAGCCAACAGCAAAACAATAGTCAAGTTCAAAATCAGACCCAAACTCTGTCACCATCAATGCAAAACCAAATTGTTGGTCAGTTTTCTGAAGCTTACACCACAACCTCGGAGAAATTGGGATCGATGAACCAAACCCAGCTGGCTGCGATGCAGGGTCAACTGGCGATGACCGCCCCGGTTCCGATTCCTACCTCAACAGCAGTGCTGCATCATCCTCTGCAGACAAGCACAGCTCCGCCGGCCACTGGCTGTACGTGATAGCGCCTAGGCTCAACTTATACTACTAGCAATATATGTCAGCTGTGCGAAAAACCCGAAGACTAACCGGCAAGGAATTTACCTATCTGCCTATTTAGGAAAAGCCGACAATGTCCGACCTAGATCCCGTATATAGTTGTTACTCCGCGACTATAGCATCTAGGCTCGATGATCTAGTGGCTGATTATCCACGTTTTCCAGTTTCTGCCACTGCTAGTAAAGCACAGACAAACAAAGCAACTGATAAACAAAAAAAATTGAGAAAAGGAAGGCCGCAAAAGGAACTGCAGAAATCTACCGCGCGGGTAGGTTAGCTGACAAATTGACGTTCTCAGCTCAGCGGTGGCCCGAGCCCGCACACTTGAACCTGGCACAACGTTGATTGTCAGCGGAAAGCAAATAAAAGAGACGGGAAACCAAAGCACCGATGACGTTAATGGGCAGATATTTGTAGAGACGAGCAGATGCAGATAGACGCTAACGGCAAGTCCAGTTGGCTGGCAACAGCCGCGTTTATAGAAATCTTTAGTATGAAATGAAGGTTGGCGCAGAAACAAATCGGCTGTCCGCTTACGGCGAACCTATACAAGAAGCGGTACCCTGTAAGTACCATATAAAAGACAGCGAACATCATACAAGTACTAGACATCAATCCGACTTGTTGTAGTGTTTGGGAAGGTGAAGGTTTTAACGAATGAACTAACGGACAGATTTATATGTAATAGAGAACTTGATTGTATAGTTTAAAAGAAAGGATCGTTCCATAGGCTACTACAGTAACATCATGTACAACAGAGACACCTACATATATATAAAAAAAAAAACAGTAGATTGAATGAAACCAATCACAAAGGCAAGAAACAGCATGACAAAGTTCACACAACACAATAATTTTAGAATGGTAGGGCAAAGTATAAAGAAAAAAAAAAAAGGTTAATTTCCCATCGTGAAGACCGCGGGTGCACTATCGTTGAATGTACAGATACGGGAACGAATTCGTTAATTCTCTGTAAAATGGAGCGTGACGCTGCGCTAACTGTGTTGCCAGACGCAGCGTCGAGCTCGATTTCTAATGTGGACAGAAAAACTAAAATAAAAATTAAGGTTTTCACAATCCTTGCATATGTATATTGAAATGAGTGACAAATATTGATAATAAAGTATATTATTATTGTTATTACCATCATTAATAGCAAAAGTGACAGTTTTATGTGGACACGCTTTGTTGAGCACATTATATTCATGTAATAGCTCATCAGAAACAGAAGAGAAGATGATGGCAGACAAACGTAGCATATACATATATATACACATATATGTATATATATATATATATATATATATATATATATATCTATATAGAAAGCGAGAGAGAGTTCCGGAGAAGGAACGACAAGTTGTATAGCACTAGCTTTTGACAGTGAGTTCGCATGACCTTCAACAGGTCCTGTAAAACTGAACTCCTTCTAACAGGTCTAGGCAGCGCGTAAATGATTGACGCATCGATAAAGCACAGAGGTCGTCAAAGTGTGTAGTCGAGCATGATTGTAATGGATTATCCGTATAGCATTCTGGAGTTGGAAGAGCATCAAACCGCAAAGGCAACCTAAAATCTACCGAACACTTAAACGACAGCGCGCGAGCATTGCAGTTGAGGACACTGTATATAGCGATTCTGAGGTAACGATAGTAACTTGCTTGGGGGGTATGGTTCATGTGTAAGTTGAATGACATGTATTGAACAACTTATTTGGGAGAAAATTAGCGATTCAGTGGCTCATATTTGTGTTTCTAGTATTAGGGTTTCGTATTGATGATAATGCACCCGAATCGGTCGCCGGCCTAACGTTCCATAACGGGTAGATACATGTAAACTACTAAGATAAATTCGAGTACACTGAATGAATGCGTTCTGCTAGGAACTAATAAACTCATACGTTGCGAATTTTTATATCTCCTATGAGATTTTCAGTAACAAAGATTTCCCTGTGCTGGACATATAAGAACCACGTGGTCAGTAAAAATTAGTCAGCGATGCAGGACTCGTTGTTGTGATCCTTTCGCTTGTTGAAAAAACAAAGAGCTAATGGCGCTGCAGTATCGTCATTATAGATCACTAAATCGATGTGCCTGTGGCAAATAGTTATTAAAGATAAAATTACTCCACAAGTTATAATTGGTCGTTTGTCGAAATTGTTAGGACGAATTGTAAGTTCTAACCTCAACGTACGATACCAAATAAATGACAAAGCATCCATTTCAGAAGCAAATTTTCAATCCGACTTGGCCGGAATCGCGGGATACAATAAGAATGAACGCTAGTAGGAACTTTAATTATCAATTTAAATCTACAGCTAATGGTAAGTTGTCGTGCACACTGTGTTATTAGTGTGAAAGGTTATAATGCGCTACGTAGAACTCAATGAAGTAACTGCTACTTACATTTGACTATATGCCTTATATTCACAGACGGAATAGAGGGAGTTGCAAGGCAACCTGTTTCATTGCCAGCTAAGCCAAGGAAGGGCAAGATATAGACGGACAAGCGGGTAGCGCTTCGAATTGACGCTGGTAATAATAGCCATCGTCGTCGCGTTGTTTCTGTCCTAATATAGTACCGAATAGGTTGACTAAAAATTAAGTCAAAACAAGCCACAACAACAATAGAAAGTTTGGCGAGGAAAACACCTAGTCTGCGTAGTTGTACATAATTGGTACATCATTTTACATGAGCGTATACATCTCACCTCGATGTACAGGCGTAAACATACAGACTCCATACCAATAGTCATTCATGGAAAATGTCGTCGCACAACTCCGTGTCGTCACCCGTGTATTGTAATGCAGTTAATGAGGTGGTCATCGCGAAGGGGTCACAATGAATGGTGACGGTCGGCATGGTGTGTTAAGTGTCCGAGCGATGAATGAACATAGACCCCTCACAGAATGGTAAGCAGAAAGACAGCTTGCGCCAGTGTACATGAGATCCACTGAAAATAAGCTAAAACTAGTCGGAAAAAAATTCGATAGATAATCTAAAATTGTTTATGAAGACTGAAGCGGCAATTGGGGGTTAGGGTAAAAAAAAAATCTGGGATGACAAAGATCGGGCAGAGGAAAAAAAGCCAAAGGAAAAAAGTCCAAGACAACGGGGGAAAATCACGTGCTGCTTTCAGGTAACCAGTCAGGTGAACAGACCAACTTGTTTAGGCAGGAAGCGAGTACACCCTCCGGAGGGTGAGTGGAGGTGACGAAGAGTAGAACTGAACATTATCCAGCTTTCGAAATGCTAACTATTATAGTGATGCTGAAGATAAAATAGTACGAAAGGAAATAGGGCAGGCGTGGGTGTACATTAGAAACGAAACAGCTATGGCTGACTTAGAAAAAATGAAGATTATGTACTTTACGGTTGATCATTTCATAATAAATCAATAATGATACGCTGGCTACTATAATGCCAAAAAAGAAGAAACTATTGTACAGTATCACAAATTGAAGACTAGAGAAGTCGAGATAAATAAAAATAAATTCTATGTTTTGTAATGTTCGTGAACAAAGAAAATCTAAATAGCATGTGTCTTTATTGGGTTTCGTTGTGTGGTGGCCAATAGTAAATTAAACAGGATCACTATAGGGTAAAATAAATGATTCTAATTTATTTTAAACACAATCACGTACTTGGAGAAAATCGTATATGACCCGGGAGAGTCGTAGCGTATCTGGTGGGTGTCAAATTGGTCCAAATTAATATTATGTACGGAACGTACAGTCAATCTCTGGACGAAAATGATCTGAAACCGTGCTCAATACCATTGTTACCCTCAAAAACGAGAGCTTCAGATGAATAAAAAGAGCATAAATGAAATATTAAGCAAGAAAATGTATTGAAGCCTAGTGAACGTTGTCACCTAGAGCAAGTCGGATACAATTAGCAGATACGGCGCGAGATTTATATCATCGCATCACTTCTCCAAAACTTATCGCAAGATAAATTAAAAACTCAACGTAGTAATCATTCTAACTAATGTAGATTAGAGTTCAATCTGTTCTCCTACAGGGGGTCAATCGACCTAGACGATCGTACTACTCCCCACCAATGAGGAGCATGGTTGTGTTGTGTATTATAATAGCAGCCTCTCTAGTATCTTACAGACGACAAAATGACTTGGCAAGTTCAGTTTATAACTTGCAGAGCTAGCGAATAGTCAAAGAGAATGGCATAATCAGTATACGTAAGTTAAATCTTTCCCAATAGTCCAAATGCTGCTTCTGTTATACGGCCACTATAATGCTATTCAGCAGGCGAATGGCGCTTTACTTCACTAAGCCACATTTAATAAATTGTATCATCGACAAATGGCTATTTAACTTACAACGGTCTATGCTTCTTGGCTATATGAAACGAGACATCACTTAAATTGTTTCTAAATTTCCGTCGGCCGTGCCGAGGACTCCATCTGGTTTAGTGCCCTTAATAAACGGCGCTTTTCTGGCAATATAGATGTCTCGCCAGACTGCCCCTTCGTCCTTAGATCGCCCTTGCTGGTCTCGACTAAAAGTTCTCGCTCACGCGCAATCAGAATCCACTCAAATAGATGATCTAGTCACCGTAGATGAATAGCCACTATGGAGCAACCGCTGGTTATTAATGCATAAAGGCTGCTATTGATAGCCCACGACTATGTCCTTCACTTTTACTTTGAATCTCCTGGAGAGGCAGCTCTGTATGCTTCTGCGTTGAAGATATCTGTCCCAGTCATCCTTATTACCGTCGAACATGTTCCTGTTTCAAACCTGAGTCAATTTAGGTTCAATCTTATTTACACTGGCATATTTAACAGTTGATATTCTAGATGTCGATATCCTGACGACTGAAAGGTGCACCATGTATTTCATGACTAAAGCCGACCATTAGGCTCAGACGAAAGCCAAGGTTATCAGATAGCCATGGCAAAAAGTTACAAAAAATACTCGAAACAGATCAAGATCGTTAGTCTACGGCTTATTAAACGAAACATATCCAAAAGAACAAAGATTTTTTTACATTTTAGGTATTGTCGCTAAGCAGTGCTTTAAGCGGCTCAACGCTAACATGCGTTTATGCCTTGCTGCAGACCTGAATTACCCTCGTAAGTTTAGTCGGCTGACACGTTGCCACTGTGGCATCTGGGGGGCCAAAAGGCGTATCTGCCAAATGCGTACGAAATCAGAAAAGAAAATTACGAATGCTCAAGCTGTTCTCAAATGCAACAATAAAAAAATGTTAAAAAACATGCTTTAACGGCAGCAAATGCGAATACTCAGAACACTTTCATTAGATCTACAAATCAAGTGAGGGTTTGCTTTGAAAGACACTTTTTTCTCGGATACTTTGCTACCGACACTACGACCCTGGAAAAAGTTTACTACTTAACTTTTGCTAGATCCTAAGCATGCTGTTTGACGTTCAATTGAGTACGTCACTTTTCGACACCGAATCAACACCTCGTGTCATCTACTAACCTTATTAGTAACAGAGCAAACCGCCGCGGGTTTTCCGCACTCGTGGTCCTAATCACATTAAGAATGGAATTCCCAGGAATTTAACTGAGATGCAATGATGAGTGAGAAACAAGCACGGTGTACAGCTTTGCCACCGCGTACTGGAAACAGGGTCCTCCTCCATACTGAACGTCATAGGAGTACGCGCCGTAGCCGCGATGGCAGGATAAATGGCCGCTGAAGACGTCTGTGTTACTAGCCTGATGCACGTTCCCAAGCCCCAACAATGCATCAAGAGTGCATTAGATTTAGCCTGCCGCAAGTTCAGTAGCAGCCGTCT